TGGTACGACAAAATGATTAGTGGTACGACAAAATGATTAGTGGTACGACAAAATGGTTAGTGGTACGACAAAATGGCTAATGGTACGACAAAATGGCTAGTGGTACGACAAAATGGTTAGTGGTACGACAAAATGGCTAGTGGTACGACAAAATGGTTAGTGGTATGACAAAATGGCTAGTGGTACGACAAAATGGTTAATGGTACGACAAAATGGCTAGCGGTACGACAAAATGGCTAACGGTACGACAAAATGGTTAGTGGTACGACAAAATGGTTAGTGGTACGACAAAATGGCTAAAGGTACGACAGAATGGCTAAAGGTATGACAAAATGGCTAATGGTACGACAAAATGGCTAATGGTACGACAAATGGCTAATGGTATGACAAAATGGTTAGTGGTACGACAAAATGGCTAGTGGTACGACAAAATGGCTAAAGGTATGACAAAATGGCTAATGGTACGACAAATGGCTAATGGTACGACAAAATGGCTAATGGTACAACAAAATGGCTAATGGTACGACAGCATGGCTCAGGGGTACACAAGTCTAAAAATATTGGGAACCACTGGTTTAACGGATAAACTCCAACGTTTTGTTGAAACGGTGCAGAACATCGACTGGGAAGCCCTGATGGCGAAGAAGCTGGAGCCACCGTTCCTGCCGTCCATCAAGGACTCAACGGACGTCAGCAACTTCGACTGCGACTTCACTCGCCTCCGGCCGGTCCTGTCACCGCCCTCCAAGCCCTTCAGCCTCTCCGCCGAGCAGCAGGAAGCATTTTCAGACTTCGACTTCTGCGCTTTGCACGGCTGAAATTTAAAAAAAAAACCCTGGAGGAGGAAATCGGCGCCGGTTCGTCCATCTTTACCGTCCACCTCTGCAGGTAAACTACTATAAATATGCATGAATACCAAGTGGTTATTACTCAATGAACTTCCAGAAACGCTGAATATTTCCTCTGTTCTTGCTGTATTAACTGATACAGTGAAGTAGCATTAAAATATTCAATCAGCCCTTTTTTAAAACCTCATTCTGGACTCTTCTAACTTCCTGTTGCTGCTGATTGTTGCCCTGTTTTGACCTTGCTGATTGTTTAAAAAGAAAAGTAGTCAAATCTTTAGCAGAGGGAACTATTGATCAACTTTAACAAGCAGAACTTTATCCTCCTAATCAGTGAAAATCCTCACTGGATGACCTTTTAAGGAAAGTTTTCACTTGTAGTCACGACTCATTGGAGGTTTCTGCAGCTGAGTCACCGACGAGCAGAGCAAAGCTGGCAGTGACCGCTCTCAGTTATCATCCAATTACTGACCCTTCGTTGATGAATTAACCAAACTGTAGTTTTTAACTGAGCTGAGGATGTGAGCGTTGGCTTTTTCTCACTTTAATCTGAAGCTAAAACTTGCCTCATGCTGTTGGAGCACATTTGGTTTGATTTTTTTTATTTTATTTTACATGTGTTTTTTTTTACTTGACAAGGAGAGACTAAAGTTCTGACATTTCCCACCTGATACACCTGTAGTTGAAGCAACTCAACAAAACACAGAGCTGCCTTACGTGATGACTGTATGACGATGTTGAGGCATAAAAAGGAAACATTCTCAATGTTTAAATCATGTCTTTTGTCTGTGGAGGCAGCCTGTGGGCTTCTGTCCCTCTAAAACCACAGAATGTATAGAAATAACTCAAAACAAATTCAGCTAAAAGCATTTTAAGCCTCCCGCTTGCTTCGTGGCCTTCGCTTAGTATACAACCCCCATTCTGGGACAAATGTGTAAAATGTAAAAAAGGCAATAATTTGCAAATCTCATAAACTCATTTTTAATTCCTAATGGAGCAGAATGAATATAGTAAAGTGCCTGTGACATCAGTTTTTTGTAATAAACATCAATGCGTTTTTGGAAAGAGAACATTGATAAAATATTGCTAAACAAATTTCAAGCCACTGAGATGAACAGTTGTTGAGATATTGGCATGTGAAGGAACAGGAAGTGATGTCAAAGGGAAATGTCTGCATGTGAACAGAGACTGTAGAGAAGAATGTGATGTTTATTAAGATTATTACCTCCACCAATGGCGAGGTTATGTTTTCGGTCACATATGTCTGTCCGTCTGTCTGTCATTCTGTCTTTGGACAACATTACTCAAAAACTTGTGGACAGATTGTCATGACATTTTTACCTCATGTTGGTACTAGGCCAAGGAACACAACTTTAAATTTTGGTGATGTTCCGAATCACGTTGCGGATACAGGATTTTTTTTTTCTGTTAACACTCTGACATCGGCAAAGCTGTGATGCTTTCACAGGGCGTGGGTTTCCAACAGGTGGCACTGTAGTATTGGTGTGCCCCTTTGTAACTCTATTACAGGATGGGGGAACTTGGTCTTGGCGGAGGTTTGCACTCTCCGAGTGCTTCTAGTTTTAATTACTATAATAAAGAGTTTTATTTCTTGAAGATTTCCCCTTTGATGTCACTTCCTGTTTCACTTTGTCTGAGCAAAGAAAATATGCCAATTATGGGATATAATGGGTAGAAACGTGTATTATACCAAGTTTCTTAAATATAAAGATGCTTTCTTTGACTTTTTGTATTTCATGGATATTTATGTCACAGGCACTTTAAGTGTTGAAGCTTTGTATGTATTTGTGAAAAATGAGAGCAACACGTCTCTTTAAAGTTGTCCCAGTTCCATGTTTCCTGTCAGTGAAGCATCTTGTTTTATTTTAAAAACAGTCTGTAAACATTTAGGACCCGATGAGACCACTTCTGGAGGTTTTTGAAGGAATTTTGCCCCATTCTGTTCTGATGTTGGCTTCAACAGTCCAATTAAGCTGCCCATCATGGAGGCACTAATGCACCCCCATACCATCAGAGAGGCAGGCTTTAGACCTGTGCAATAACAGCTTTGATGGTCTCTGTAATCCAAAGGATGTTTTAAGATTTGCAAATCATTGTGTTTTTAATTTTATTTACATTTTACATAACGAACCATCTTTTTTTTTTTTTAAACAGGGGATTTTTACTGTATTTATTATCCTCCAGAGGAATGTTACGTGCAGTAGTTTCTATGCATCACTGTGACCGGCTTCGCTCACTGCCTTCAAGTAGAAAACTAATTTAAACGTCTGGTTTCAACATTTCTTGTCATTTTCGTCCGTTTGGTGTTACAACACAGTCGTGTGGTGAACCTCCTGTAATCCTGTAACGCTAGCACTCTTTTAAAAAAGCCATAGATTATCTATAATAGCCATGTTAGCAAGTAAAATATCTGTGCATTTAATTTAGCAAATAATCTTTAAAAAAAAAACAGTCTCCACCTGAGAAAACTGTAACAGGACAGTCGGAAGGTTTAACTGTTGTAGCACTTTATGCAGCTGAATATTACACATTATCTGTGTGTCTGAACTGTATTTATACATGTATGTCCATCTGTAACATGCATATCAAACGTGTTTAATGTACTCTTGTTGTCAATAAATACAAACAGAACATGACAGTAAAATATTTGTTTCTTGCTCGATGAATGAGCACATTATTACACTTTTGTTTACATTTTTATAAGATATTCAGGTAAATTCAGATTTAATGTTATAATGTCGTGAATGTATTCAGTCAAAATGTCCAGAAATCAAAACGTTGACATTAGTCACGTTTACATATTTATCGTTTTCATTTATATATAAATACCACCCTGACTGTCCACGCGTCAGAACGCCCACACAAACAGCTTCATGTGCGTTTGCTCGTTAAAAAAATTTTAACAAAATCTTTAAAGGGATCCATGATTAGTTGTAACATTAGACTTTATTTGATAAACATATATTTTAACTGTAAAATAACAACTGTAAAAATACTGTAGGATGTCCAGTTTTTATAATTTTTAAACTAAAAATTTAAAAATATATTACACGGACGGGGCCATTTTATTTACACACAAAGCATTCTGGGTAAATGATGATGTGGATAGGTCCTCGGTGTGAGGCTGCTAGCGAGCTATATCCACCCTGAAGGTTAATCTTGGACAATATCTGATGATCGACTCTTTTAAATGAAACCAGAGAGCGTTGACAGAGAGGAGAAGGTAGAAATGACTCAGCCTGGAACTGAAAATATGGATGGAGGACAACAGAGCTGCTTCATGGAAGAAGAACCTCAGCTTAGCCTGTTAGCCTTTGCGCTAGCCCTCACACTATATTGCCTTATATGTATTAGCTCAGTGCTAGCGCGACAAACAAGCTAAACTGAGGTCCTCCATCCATACTTTCAGTTCCAGGCTGAGTCATTTTTGTGTTCCCCTCTCTGTCATGTGGATGGAGGACCTCAGTGACGAGAGGAGAATGTGTAGCGCTGAGCTAATACATATACTGTATATGGTGATAGCATTGGGGCTAACGCTAAAGCTAACAGGCTAAACTGAGGTTCTTCTTCCATGAAGCAGCTCTGTTGTCCTCCATCCATATTTTCAGTTCCAGGCTGAGTCATTTCTACCTTCTCCTCTCTGTCAACGCTCTCTGGTTTCATTTAAAAGAGTCGATCATCAGATATTGTCCAAGATTAACCTTCAGGGTGGATATAGCTCGCTAGCAGCCTCGCACCGAGGACCTATCCACGTCATCATTTACCCAGAATGCTTTGTGTGTAAATAAAATGGCTCCGTCCGTGTAATATATTTTTAAACTTTTAGTTTAAAAATTATAAAAACTAAATAGCCTATGGTATTTTTACAGTCTTTATTTTACAGTTAAAATATATGTTTATTAAATAAAGTCTAATGTTACAACTAATCGAGGATTCCTTTAAAGAACATCTTGTGCAATCTGTTTGCTCTCAGATTGTGTTGGGGATCAGTTTCGGCTACTACCACAAAAGCCTTTAGCTCAGTATTTGTAAAACTGATTGAGTTGTTGCTTTTTGTCTTCGTTGAAAGCGTACCGTGGCGGCCATCTTGAATTTGTTGAAGTTTAGAGAGACAGCCAGTGGTTATTTCGTCCAGTGGTTCATGAAACGTTTTGCTAACAGACGAATGTTTTGCTGATACCGTCTGGTCCCTGTGAGTTCAGACAGTGTTCGGGGTGTTCTTCTGGTAAACCTGCTCCCACATGACCGTCCTGCAGATACAAAAGAAGTCCCACAGGTTGCAGAGAAGTCCGCGGTCGAACGGGTTCTCCTCCGCCCTGAAGTTCCTCAGGTACGAGATCCGGTGGCGGGACATGAACTCCCAGGTGGTGCAGTTGATGGAGATCAGGTAGAGGTGGCAGCCCAGCAGGAGAGCCACGTTCCCGGAGAAGGCCCCCACGACGACCAGCGCCGCCAGGAGAAACCCGTTGGCTCTGAACCACGGCTCCCACGAAACGCTCGGAGAAATCCCCGACCTGAAACAGAACGGAACAAAAGAAGTTTTAGCTCAGTGTTTGTAAAACTCACCGAGTTATGGCAAAGTTCGGTTAGCTGTGGCAGCCATCTTGAACAGGTCAAATGATTACCTTCTGGGAAGTGTTCATGAGATATTTTGCTAACAGACAAACAGCTGCATGTGATAACGTCATTGATTTTAGCAAACCTCAGTTTGTCATGTTTACAATTTAAACTGAAAGAGGTTGAAAATGTTATCTTTGTTTACATCTATCAGTCTGGTCTCCTTTAAACAAAGCGAGTCGTGATCAAATCTGTCTCTGGCTCCGGTTGAAGATTTAATATTGATTTTAAATTTCAAACCTCAAAAATAAATCAGATTGTTTGAGACTCTGAGATCAGCAGACTGTTAAACATCTAACTTAGTTAAACTGTAAAAACCTTCAGAACGTGAAAGAATGCACATCGCCCACCGCCTTTTAAATTAGAGTTTTACCAGTTAAAAGGAGAAAAACATAAGCTAGAAGCTAAATGAGGTTTGCTTAAATAAAAAAAAGATTTAAAAAAGTAGATAAGCGCTAAAGGTATCAAAACGCTTATTAAAAACTAAATGAAACAAAAGGTTATTTAAATGCTAAATTTAGCAAAAGGCTAGTTAAAAGCTAGATGTACCACAAGCTAAAAGGAGAAAATAGCTTGAAAATAAATGTAGCAAGATATTAGATGAAACCTAAATATCAATAAAGGTAGCAAAATGCCAAATGTAATGCTAATAAAGAGTAAATAAATCAAAAGAATAGCTAAAAACTAAATGTAGCACTAGCTAAAAGGAGCAAAAATGCTAGCTTGAAGTACATGTAGCAAAAATGTTTGTAGCAAAAGACTAGCTAAGAGCTACATGATGGAAAAGGCTATCCAGAAAGTAAAAGGAGCATAAGGCTAGCTTAAAGCTAATTGTAGCACTAGCAAAAAAGTGAAAAAGGCAAGCAAGAAGCTAAATGAGGAAAGATGTTGACTATTAAAAATCTACCTAAAATCTAAACGTAACAAAAGGCTAATTTAAAGACTAAATGATGGAAACGGCTAGCTAAAAGCTAGATGTAACGCAGGATAAAAAGCAGCAAAAAAACTAAGAATAAAATGTAGCAAAAGGCTAGCTAAGAGCTAAACATAGCTCAAAGCTACAGGTCTCTATAGACTTTTTTAATGAACAGCAAATTGATTTTTTAAAGGGATCCATGATTAGTTGTAACAAATACTGTGGGCTGTTTAGTTTTGTAAATTTTTAAAAATATATTTTAACACGGACGGGGCCATTTTATTTACACACAAAGCATTCTGGGTAAATGATGACGTGGATAGGTCCTCGGTGCGAGGCTGCTAGCGAGCTATATCCACCCTGAAGGTTAATCTTGGACAATATCTGATGATCGACTCTTTTAAATGAAACCAGAGAGCGTTGACAGAGAGGAGAAGGTAGAAATGACTCAGCCTGGAACTGAAAATATAGATGGAGGACAACAGAGCTGCTTCATGGAAGAAGAACCTCAGCTTAGCCTGTTAGCTTTTGCGCTAGCGCTGACGCTATATTGCCTTTTATGTATTAGCTCAGTGCTAGCGCAACAAACAAGCTAAACTGAGGTCCTCCATCCATATTTTCAGTTCCAGGCTGAGTCATTTCTACCTTCTCCTCTCTGTCAACGCTCTCTGGTTTCATTTAAAAGAGTCGATCATCAGATATTGTCCAAGATTAACCTTCAGGGTGGATATAGCTCGCTAGCAGCCTCGCACCGAGGACCTATCCACGTCATCATTTACCCAGAATGCTTTGTGTGTAAATAAAATGGCCCTGTCCGTGTTAAAATATATTTTTTAACTTTTAGTTAAAAAATGATCAAACTAAACAGCCTACAGTATTTTTACAGTTTTTTTTTTACAGTTAATATATATGTTTATCAAATAAAGTCTAATGTTACAACTAATCGGGGATCCCTTTAATAATATTTCTGCTCCACTAACACTCTGATTTCCAAGAGGTGCGTTTGAGTCATCAACCTTCAGCTGAAATGTTTCACATCTGGACTCTGAAAATATCAAAGTGTTCTTGAGCAACATGTTACAACTCCTGCTTACACAAGCTCTCCAAAGGGTTACCTAATTCAGCTGACAGGAGCACTTTGACTCATGACTGAGGCCACAAATATTCATTTCTCAGCAGATAAAGACTTTTATCTCCAGAGTCAGAGGAGGTCAGCGGACGTACAGAGCGATGTGAAGGGCCCACAGCAGGGCCAGCAGCTGGACCAGCAGGTAGACCACGAACCAGCGGTGGTTCCTCTCCCCGACGCAGTTCTCGATCCAGGGACAGTGATGGTCGTAGCGCCGGATGCAGTGTTTACACGTCTGGCAGTGCTTCGCTCTCATTGGCTGCTGCTCGGGACAAAAACAAGAACACAGAGCGGTCTTTAGGAGATCTGTACCGACCTGTAGCTGATCATCGACTGCAGGGTTAAACTATTTTTAGCTTTCGACCCACAAAACAAAAAGTCGCCAAAACTTGTGACGCCAATTATTCTTTGAACGCTGATTCAGCATTCTTTCTTTTTGCTTCTGAATACTTTCTACTGTTTTAGTCGATCATAAATCAAAACATTCAGCTCACTCAAGAAAAGAATGCTGTGACGTTTAGTTTGTGTCACTTTTATACTTTTCAAAATATTAAACTTTATTTACAAATATTTCACTTTTCCATCATGTAGCTCTTAGCTAGTCTTTGGCTACAAACATTTTGCTACATGTATCTTCAAGCTAGCATTTTTGCTCCTTTTAGCTAGTGCTACATTTAGTTTTTAGCTAGTCTTTTGCTTTATTTACTCTTTATTAACATTACATTTGGCATTTTGCTACCTTTTTTTGATATTTAGATTTCATCTAATATCTTGCTACATTTATTTTCAAGCTATTTTCTCCTTTTAGCTTGTGGTACATCTAGCTTTTAACTAGCCGTTGCTTCAATTCCTTCAAAAATATTTTTGTTTAAAATCGTATAGATATATCTTTCTTACGCTTCTGTTAGCTAGCTTTAGATCGCCCTTTGTAATCTTTAGCTTTTAGCAGACCCCCTGATACTTTTAGCTTGTATTTCTTTTTACTTTTAGCTAAACTTTTTACTGCTTTTGTGACATTTACCTTCCCAAGCCTTATTTGACTTTTAGCTTACTTTTGATATTTTTAACTAACCTCTTGCTACTTTAGCTTTGAGTCATCTTTTTTGCTATTTTTAGCCTCTAAGCCAACCTTTTGATACCTTCAGCTAGCCATTTGATACTTTTGTCATTTTGATACTTTTAGTTACTCCTTTGTTAATTTTAGCTAGACTTTTACCCAGAGTTGTAAAGTAACTAAGTACAAATACTTTGTTACTGTGCTTAAGTAGAATTTTTGGGTATCTGTACTTTACTTGAGTAATTATTTTTCAGCGTACTTTTTACTTCTACTTCTTACATTAAAAAAAGGCAAGAAGTAGAAAGTTGTTACTTTTATTTCATTTTTGCTTGTTTTCATTCCAGCTTGTTATATTAAAAATAAATACTATCCATATGAATTGTGCCTCTTAGATAGAATGAATTTAATTGTGGTTGAATGATTATATAGTATAGATTATATAATTATTATATATCATGAGTATAGTGGTTTTTTTTCTTTTACTTATCTTTCTTTATTCTATCTCACACTTTTTGTTTCTTTTGTATTCATGATTAAACCTGTTTTCCATCTTATAACTGAGAATAACAGTCAGGTGGGGAGGAGGACAGCTGTGTTCTCTGTCTCCTCAGTTCATATCAAACCCCTAGTGGCAACTCTTAAACACTTAAGAGTCCTCTGGAGCAGTCTTAACAGAAGACTTAAGTTAAGTCTTAAGTCTTAACTTAAGACTTAAGTCTTAATCTTAAGACTTAAGACTTAATCTTAAGTCTTAAGATTAAGACTTAAGAGTCTTAATCACTCTTAAGACTAACTTTAGACTTAAGAGTGATTCTTAAGAGAATCACTCTTAAGTCTAATAGTGCGTTCACACCAAACGGGATTTCAGCGTCAGGAGCAGCAGGTTTACATACAAAGTCTATGGTGGACGCGCTT